CGATTTCGCCCCCAGTGGCCCCACACGGGGGGGGGAGCCTCCGAAGGATCCTGGAAGGCATTCTTGGACCCTTCTGAAGCTCCCCCCACCTCCACCCCTGCGGGCCCAGCAGGCAGAAATTGCCAAAATATTTTTTTCCTATTTTCCTCCCCTAAAAATGAGGTGTGTCTTATGGAGAGGTACATCCTATGGAGCAAAAAATACGGTAAATGTTATTGCATACACTGCAATGTTACATTGCCAATAATGACTGAATTGCCACCTACATCCCTAGTTTATTTATTTAAACTGTATCCCACTCCTGTTAAGGTGGGTAACCACTTGTCAAACAAAAAGTAGAAGTTACACTTCAAATGGTGTAAATCCATAACAGAAGCCTGGCCATTACCTCTCAGGTCAGAGGAATAAATATCAAACTTGGTTCCTGTAAAACCCTCTCAGCAAAACTGGAAATGGGTGCCATGTAGTATATGCAAAGTCCCACAGCAACAATAAAATGATATAACCACTGACCTTAAGAAACCAACAGTCTGTGTGGGTAAGCCACTTACCAGACTTCTACAACATCTTAAAATCTCAACCAGAGCTTGAAAAATTTTAGCATCGTCGTCCTCCTCCTCGCCCTCGTCCATGCCTTCTGCAAGGTCCTCCTCCCCGTTTTCCTGCAGCAGTTCGAAATCTCCCGTTTCCGCCGTCCACACGCTCCGTATCGTCACCTTGAACTCCGCCATTGTGTAGCCAAAGAGTTTCTGGAACATGGGGAGGAAAAAAAAAAGGCGTATAAACTCCCCGACTCTCACGGCTTATTGGAGAAAATGTGTGTTTGTGCGTGTGCGCTCTGCAGCTTGATTTTGGCAAAGAGATGCAGATTTATGAACTGTTGGAGAGGTTGGGAGTTTGATTCCCCCAATGCGCCTCCCTGATAGAGGCTGGACTGGATGATCTATCAGGTACCTTCCACCCCGGCAGTTCTAAGATGATGATGATGGTTACATCACTGGGAGCCCAATATGCTCTTTGCTTGGAAGATTTTTTCTCCCCATCAGAAGGAGAACAGCCCCTGTCCCCTGTAGGTGTGCCGTGTCTGGGGATGATGGAAGGTGTAGTCACCAGGCTGGGGAAGGTTTATACAAACACCTTGATATTCCATCAATTAAACTGAGGGAGGGGGCCGCATTGACAGACCTGGACATGAGCAAAAATTCCAGGGGAGACGGGGATCCAAGCTAGAAGTGCTGCCCAGTGACTCCTTCCGGTTCTGAGATTTGGGACCGGAGACCCTTAGAGACCCTCCTCTCCAACCTCCAAGGTTCATTTTTTGTCTTATTTTTTTCACCATTATGAGTGCTGTCGAAAAGCTCCCCCCCAATGGTTCTAGGTAGATGCACATTGCACACACACACCCTGAACGGAATTATTACTGGAGATTTTCTACATTGGTGGGCTTGCTGAGCCCCGGAAATAACCCTACGCAGGAGTATATTTGCACCCATCCAGGTTCTCGTCTCGGTCACTCACCAGGATCCGGGCCTGTTCGGGGTTCAGGACGTCCCCCTCTTTGCAGACTTCGTAGTCGGAGAGCAGCGTGACCACGCCTGGGGAAGAGGGAGAGACGGAAAGCCAGGAGGTTGAGAGAGGGAGCCGGAAAGCGACCCCCTCGAACCTGCAACCGTCTTATCGTGGGAGAGGCGGCTGACCTTTTTTTAATGTCGTGGGCAGGCCGAGCTGCCGCAGCTGAGGCTCCATGGAGTGCGGGAACTGCTCTAAGGGCCCCATATCCAGGTGGACGGGGAAGGTGGCCTGGTTTCCGGCTCGGGCAAAGTCCGTCTCTTTGAAGCGAGAGAACCAGCTGGGAAGGGAAATCAAAGCAAGTGGATTTTATTTGCATACGTTGAGGACTAGCCACCCACCCTGTTGATCCAGGATGAACATGTCTCGTCACTCTCCCGACACAGTGAAGAGTTGCCATGGCCCCCTTGGCCTGCCCTTAGGTTCGAGGTCTTTTTGACAACCCGTGCCCGCCTTGGTGGCTCAGGAATGGGTAAGGGAAGCTGGCTGCTTTTCAGCGGCCCTTGCAGCAAACAAAAATACTCACTCCAGGACTTCGTCTTTGGTGCGGTTGGTGAACAAGAGGCCAACCTCTCCGCGGAGATGCTTACTGACCTGAAAAGCCAAAGAAATTTGGCAAGGAGGAATCAGGCCTTGGAACAAGCAGGAAGAGCCTTCCAGCAGACTCCGGGAAGGCCTGGGGAAGTGGCACATTTCAGGTGTGAGCAAGGCAAAAGAGAATCAAGCTTATTTGTGCTGGAAGCTCTTACTCGGCTTTAGGAGGGGGAAAAAAGCATTTCAGCCTTTTAAAAGGGAGCAAACGCTGGGGAACCATTAAATAAGAGTGTCACGGGGAAAGCTTGTTGAGGGAAGCCCAGGAAAGACGGATCAGGCCTGAGAGCTGGAGGCTCACCCCCCTCTATGCACTGAAGTCATGCATCACTTTTCTTTCTTTGCACACACAAAGAGACAGAAACACTGCCGTGTGGGACATCGCACCTGGTGTAGATTGTCTTTGTATTCGTCTGTCGGGCTCCGTCCCAGCGCAACCATCATCACTTTGTTTTTTCCAAAGAATATTCTAGAAAGAGATTGGCGGGTGGAGGGTTGTCAGAATCAGATGTGGTGAAAACGAGAGGTCCAGAAGGGAAACACGGTGTTCAAATCTGTACTGGAAATACCCCCAAATTTAAGAAGCTAACAATGTGCTGATTCCTAGAACGATGAGACTGGTTCAAAGGGTCCTCTCCGTGCCTCTAGACCTCAATTTCAGATCACCCTGGACAGCCGTGGGTTGTTTTTTTTCACCCTGCTTGCATGACATCAGAATCAGGCCACAGAAGGAAAGGCGGGCTAAAGAGAGTGACAAAATCTCCTCCTTACCTGCTGTGCTTCCAAGCGTTGCGAATATCTTTCAGCTTGTTGTTCCTCATGTTGGCGATGGAAAAAATAAAGAGGTATTTGTAGGTGTCCACGCATTTCCGTAACTGGGGGGGAAAGAATGTTGGAAACTGGAATACAAGGGCATTAAAACTGAAATATCCTCAGACTGTAGCTCCAATACACCACCTTGGCCATAAATATCTATCCGGAATTAGAGCGGTGCTCGCTTTTCTACTTGGAACTCCACCTTGTTCTCTGCAGTCCAACGGCATTCCTTCCCGCTAAGAGATTAATTAGAACATCGTCAAACCTGCTGTTTTTAAGCAAGGCAGGTTTCCAAGGTAAACCTTTTAGTCCAAGTGAATGTATGCTTGATGCCCGTCTGTCTGTGGGATGTCACTTACCTCTTCTATCAAGTTCTGCTTCACTTCCAAGCCCTTCTTGGTGGTTTTTGTTAAAGAAACTAGAGAGAGAAGGACAGAAATCTTAAGTTTTCTACAGTGCTGTTTATTCAAACCTCCGTCAGCAGCCTGGATGTACAATCGGGAGTGTTAGAATCACATATCAAAGGAAGTACAGCTCTCCAAATGGCTTTCTTCCCCCCCTCCCCCAATTCTCCTGTGTAGTTTTCATGGAGCGCTCACATTAACGGCCATTGGTGATGATGATGATTTAAGCTCATGGTACAATGACGGTCTCTGGAAACAGTCAACTTCCCATGTGTGCTGTTTATAGATATTTGCGGACTGCCCCTCTTATTATCCTTGCTAATGGGCTATGTAGTCTGGGGTTGATGGGGATTGTAGTCCCTCACACTTGAGTTAACAGAGTGTTGCTCTAGGTTTAGAAAGACCCTGGCTTTGAACCCCCGGCCCGGCCATGAAGCTGGGAGGGAGATCTTGGGTCAGCCCCTCTCGAAGCTCACCCTGACCTACCTCACAGGGTCGTCGTGGTCACAAACCCACCCCACCTCTGGCCACTCCTCGGAGACAATAAAGGTGACTGATAAATCAGCCGGGTTCCCAACAGAGAACAAAAGCAGCTTGTCAACAAGCACAGATTTGACTGCAACTCCCGGAATCCTCCAACCAACCACCGGTGGTGGATTCTGGGAGCTGCAGTCCCTCCCCAATAGCTGTTCCCCACGTTCGGCCAAGACACGTGTACGTTTTCCTGGCTCTTCTAAACCCAGGCAGGCTTCCCAGGAGGCGATCGAGTCTATTTCGGGTCTCCACGGGCTTTGGGGAGGGATCGTTGAGGACTAGCGCCTTGACTCACCCTTCTTGTCCCGCTTGGACTTGGGCATCTTCGCCGAACCACGCCGGGCGGCTGCTTCCCTGCCTGTTCCGGGGGCGCCGCGGGGGCCGACGGGAAGTGTTTAGGCGGCTACCTCAGTGCCTGTCTCAGCGGATGGATGGGGCGAAAGGAGCGACTGGTGCTCCCAAAAATCATGGAAACGCCCCCCCACCCCAAGCCTTCCCCTCAGTCTTAAAAGGTTATTTTACGGGGCGGAGAAAGGAAAATATGACTTTTATTTTTCAATCAGGCGATAGAGGAAGTCAGCCCCCAGGTGGTGCCGGGTCCTCGTACGGTTGAGAAACCCGTCGTCAAGGTAGGACCCTCATCCCTGCCTACACGCTGCCTCCCTCGCGCGGTGCACGACGGGACAGGGACAAGCTAGTGTTTATAGATTTTCTTAGAGAGAGATACTGGGGCTCCAATTCTGGGTCCCTTTCTTTTTTTAATTAGGATGAAGAAAACCGGTGATGAAGATGTATGAAGTAACTGAGACACTTAGCCACGAGTCCACTCTCAAGCTCCTCACTCCCTCTTCCCCATTTCCCCATTCCCCTTGGGCAAGGAGCTAGTCCTGCTCGACCCCAGAAGGCTTCGGAGCTTCTCTTCATTTTCCTATCTCTACGGAGCGATGCAGAGTCTAGGGGGGAGAAAGAGCGCCTCTCTGGCCCGCGGACTCGGTGGTCGCGCGGGGCCTGATGGGATAGCGCGGTGCTCCGCTTCCCTTGCCTGCGGGGTTCTCGGCTGTCATGGCGGCGCCCGGGCGCTTCTGCTGCTTCTTCTTCCTCCTCCTCCTCCTCTTCCTCTCCGCGGGGGCTGTTTACGAGGACCAAGTGGGCAAGTTTGACTGGTAGGGGACGCTCCCCGCCCCCACAACCCCTGTGCCTTTGGGACGGGTGGGGTTGGCCTGCGCAACTCCCCGCCACTAGAAATCGGTGGGGAATTTAAAAAAACACATACATATCTCCCCATCAGCTGGGAAGGTATCGAGGAGGGGGGGGTGTCCTTCGGGGCTGCCTGACCCGCGGCAGAAGCTGTCAGACAGAAAGAAACAGAACGAAGTGTAGATGAAATATCAGTTAATTTGAGTCTGTCTCCACCTAACCTGCCTTACAAGACTGTTGTTGTTGTGAAGGGTCATGGGAAGGATAGGACCTGGCGTAGCCCTCTGAGCTCCCGGGAGGGAAGGGAAGATGGAAGTATAATTAATGAATAATACATTTTAATTACTCGTTTTTAGCTTGTAAAAGCTTTTTAATCATGTAAGCCACCTTGAGTCACCTTTAAGGGGAAAGGTGGAGTTCAAAGCATTTTATAGAAATGAAACAAATAAATTGGAAATGCTTGGAGGTTGTAATAGTTTAAATAATATTCATTATTTGAGACATGCTTTAGTCTGTGGAGTGGGTGGGGATAAGTGGCTTTGTAGTCTAATGCAACAGGAGGGTGATAAAGAGAGATTATTTCTCCCCCTCTCTTTGGGTCCCGTGGCTTTGACCGGCTCTTTTCTTTCTCTTTCACCCTAGGAGGCAGCAGTATGTGGGGAAGCTCAAGTTTGCTTCCTCGGAGGCCTCCCAGGGCTCGAAAAAACTCATTGTGGCCACGGAGAAGAACGTGATGGCGGCGTTGAATTCCAGAACAGGAGAAATCCGTGAGTTATCTGTGGCACAGGAGCCTTGTGGTAAAGGTGGCACTGCTGGGACGGGATGAGAACAGCCTTGATGGAAGAGAAGAGGGAGGTCCGGCAGCCTTTCTCATGCGGAGGACGTAGTGCAAGAGATCCTTGCAGGAGGAAAATGGCCACGTCTTCATTATTTCTGGTTCTTTTTTCAGTGTGGCGCCACGTGGACAAAGGGACTCCAGAAGGCGTGATTGATGCCATGCTGATCCACGGACAAGGTAAGGAAACAAAATCCACTCCCTTTGCATGACGCGTTCCCTGCATCTGTAGTTTTGTCTTGAGTGATGAGGGACAAGATGGGGCATCTCCTGAGCCCCGTTTGTGGACGTTGTCACGTCAAGCCTGCTCTGTCCGTCCCCTCTCTAGATGCCATCACTGTTTCGAATGGGGGCCGCATCCTGCGCTCTTGGGAGACCAACATTGGTGGCTTGAACTGGGAGATCCTGATGGAGTCCGGGAGGTGAGCCTGTTGGGCGGGCGAGCAAGGACTGGGTTGGCAGCCACTGGTCGGGCGAAATCCACTGCTCAAAAATGAGTACAGGGGGGGAAAACCTATCTGTCTTTTATTGCCAGTTTTCAGACGGCTAGTTTGGTGGGATTGCCAGACAGCGTGAGATACGTGGCTGTTCTGAAGAAAGGAACCCTCGCCCTCCACTACCTCTCTAACGGCCACCAGAAGTGGATTGAGCCTTTACCAGAAAGGTAAGATTGGAGGAATGGGTGGGAGGCCTCTTACTTTAAAAATACAGCAGTAACTTTAAATGATGATTGGCACCTGCGCTGAGCTTCTGCAGGGCTTTTGATGATATATGTTTAATTATTTTTTGTATGATGTATGTGGTATTTAAAAACTGTTGATTGTATGGTGTTAGTACACACGCACACACACACACACGCACAAGCTTACATGTATATGTATATATATAGCAACACACACACACACACACACACGCTTACATGTATATGTATATATAGAGAGAGTTAGTATGTGGAAAATGCCTGGAAGTCCTTTACCATCGTGGGGCCACCTTATGGCCTTTTTAATCAACTTTTCCCCCCTGCCAGTGAGACGGTTCAGTACCAGTTGGTGTATTCGCACGGAACAGGGGCCGTTCACGTCCTCGGGATCCTTCCTCAGCACCACATTAACATCGTCACCTTCAGCGTGGAGGATGGAGAAATTCTAAAACAGGTAGACCGCATTCTTGGCTCGCAGCTGACCTTCTGGGTTGTTGTGGTCGTCCTTTCCCCGTGGGGTGTTTGCCAGCGTGAGAGTTATTCCAAGCTGGGCTGCGGCTTGTCTCCCAACCGTTGATAACGGAGATGGCCCTCTGTCTCCACCTTTGATGGTTCCGGTGGCGACGGCCTGGTTCCTCTGCATTTTTTCTCTCTCTGTGTCCTTTCCAGGTTCAGGTGCCCGTCCCCTGGCTGAGCAGTCTAAGCGGGACGTGTGGCGTGGTCAGGGAGGCCACGCTCATCTGCGCTGATGCAGCCACGCAGTCCCTTTACACCATGTCTCTGGATGCCAAGGAAGCGATGAAGCCGGTGTCGCTGCAGGTGGGGCAACGGGAAGGGGGCAGATGGCTTAGGGCAACAATCCGAAACAAACCAGCTTGGTCTCAGTCCAGGGTGGCCTTTCCTGACTCCCCTCTGCCTCTTTCCTCCTCTTCTCCGCAGTCCTTTGGCTTGGAATTTGCAGACGGCTCCCGACCCCTCGTGCTGACCTGCCAGCCCAACCCTGTGGCTCCTTCCAGGGCCCAGTTCTTCCTGCGCCTCTCCCCGACGCGCTTTGCCCTGATGCAGTATCGGAACGGGGTGCTGAGCCTCCTCCGGGATTTCCCTCAGGTGAGGAGAGAAAAAAGGCTCGTGTGAGAAAGTACCACGTGAGCGTAAGGTCTTTTTCTCTCTCTTCCACATCCTGTAGCAAGGGTATTCGAAGATAGACTACCCTTGTTCATTCGGGTTCCATTTTTACCGTGGATTGACACAGGCCTCTTGGAAATCAGCACAGTGCAGCTGCGGTGACTGCTTGATATTGTGAACCTTCTCAGTTGTGCAAAACTTCACTTGAGTTCTACGCACAAACTTTGTCTTATTCCGTTTTCCTGTGTCGTGTTTTTTTATATATTCCTTTTCTTTCTTTTTGGGCCTTCTTCCCCAGGCTGGACTTGTGACCTTTGCCACCACCAGTGAGAAGACCGTAGCCGCCGTCCTCACCTGTAAGGGCGATCCCGTAAGTGGAGCATTTTTCTCTCCTTATTGTTTCTAGCTCAGATTCATCTTGAAACAGGCCTGACTTTCTCAGGAGATCACTTGGTTTCTCAGCAGCTGAGTCACAATAAAATATGGTTTGCTTTGGTTTGTGGCTTAAGACACAAACGATCCAGCAGACAGTCAAACATCCCACCTTTCTTGCTTCTGATTTTCTTCCTTCTTGTCTGCTTGCTCTGGTTGTGAGCTTTTTCGGGTATATAGGCAGACACGATGGCTTTGTTTTTTTTTTAAACAAAATATACGGGGTTGACTAATGCGGGATGCATCAAGCATTTGGTGTGGGTGACTTGGTAGTTCCGACAGCCACGCTCTGCTGTAAACCCGTGTGATTCTCCGCCATGTGATGGGCAGGAAGGCCGAGAGCGTGTCGCTGGTGCGAGGCCGGACGTCGTGACTCTGTGGCACGCTCAGACTTTGTGATGGGCGAATCAGCCTTTTCACTCCTGTGGGGGATCCGTCAGGTTGCTCGTCTGTTCAGAGAGTTGAAAACCCCCTGGTCTCCCAGCTGGGTCATCCCTGGTTCTGTCTTGCTTTGTCTGCAGAAAACTGGCCCTCCTCCTGACCCCACGCCTGCCGATTTGTCTGGACAAACCTCCAAGCAGGTACGGGGAAAATGGGGGCCCCCTTCTTGTCTGGAAGGCCCTTAGCTGGTGTGAAAGGAAGAGGAGAGCGCATTGGGCTGCCGGGGGAGGGGGCTGGATCTGTCCTCCTGAGCTTCCCTGCGGCACCAAAGGTTGACCATTGCTCAGCCTTTCTTTTGACGCCATTTCCACCTCCCTCTTCTCACATCTCGAAATGGCCTGGCTTGCTCACTGGCTTGCTTTTCTATCTATCATCTAGAACATTTAGAATATTTAAAACATTAAAACATTAAAAGAGAGAAAGAGCTTGAAGCTGAGATTCAGTGCATGTTCCCACAACCCCCCCCCATTGACCTCAGGACCCACCCACCCCTTCTGTAGCCAGTCCCCCAGAGAATGTCTTTGTCATTCAGGCCAGCCCTTGGGCTCGGGAGGGGGGTGCTCTGCCCTCATCTCGGCCTCGTTTCCCCCCCTTCCTCCCGGCCGGTGAGATGATTCCTCCCCGTGATCGTTTGCAGGACTTCTTAAGCTGCCACAACCAGTCCTTCGCCGTCACTTTATACTTGGCCGAAACCGGCCAGAGGCTGCTGGAGACCACCGTGGGGTTCACCCTGGAGAAGAGCAGCACCAGGCCGGAACAGGTGAGCGGAGCGCCAGGGGGGCCCTCGGCCTAGCGGAGCCCCTGGGGGGGAGGTCTGCAGGAGGGAGGCCAAGAGGGCGAGGGGCTAGAGCTGGGCGGTGGGAGGGGAGCCCTCGGAGGTGGCCGGGCCTTCGTCCCAAAGAGGAAGGTCCTGTTTATCCATTGGGGCTTGAGGCCACATGGAGGGGTGGCTGAGGAGGAGAGAGGGCTTCTTGACTGGGCAGCGGATCTCTCCCTTTTCTTTTCTGATGTGTTCTCATCCCGCTGGGTTTAAGTCCTGACTTCATTTTGTATTTCTTATCCTGTCTCTCTGGGAGCTCGGACCTGGGTTCTTCCTGTCTCGAGGAGACCCATGGCAAGGAGTAGAACTTGTGGGGCGGTATGACATTCTGTGGGTTTCGCCGGGGGGGTCCTGCCTCACATGGGGTGAAACCTCTGGAGGAGACGCAGTCGGTTAGCCGAAGGAAGGAAGAAAAAGAAAATGGCAATTGACATCTTTCTGCTCCCATCATCCCCAGCCAACAGGGTGAAGGATGATGGGTGTTGGAGTGAAGCTAGAGAGCGGCCTTTTGTCCATTCTTTTTAAGCTTTTCCTGCTGTTGATTTCTTGAGAAGGGTTTTGTCAGCTTTCTTAATCGGTTGAATTCCCCCCCCCCCGATGATGCCAAGAGGGGAGGGCCTCACCCAAACTCTGTTTGCCCTTCCCGCCTCCCCTTTCCATTTTTTTCCTCCAGCTTTACATTCAAGTCTTTTTGAAGAAGGACGACTCTGTGGGCTACCGGGCTCTGGTTCAAACAGCCGACCACTTGCTTTTCTTCCTTCAGCAGCCGGGTAAGTCTAGAGCTGCAGAGCCTGGCTAGAAGCACTGTACACGCACGTGGAAAAACAGAGGGAGGGAGGGAGGGAGGGGGGGGAGTTTAATCCCTCAGCCACATCCCCCATGTTGGCTTTCCTTGTCTTTGCACTTGCTTGGAGAAACATAACACAGCAACTTAAAGTGTTTTTTTCCCCACTTCTCCTCTCTTTCTTTCTGTCTCTTTGCTTTTCCGTAGGGAAAGTTTTATGGAGCAGGGAAGAGTCGTTGGCTGAAGTGGTTAGTTTGCAGATGGTGGACTTGCCGCTGACCGGTGCCCAGGCCGAACTGGAGGGCGAATTTGGGAAGAAAGCAGGTAAGGGCTGCGGCCTTAAAGGGAAACGTTCGATGGAGCGGCAGCTGGCTGTTGGAAAGACAGCAGGACGGCCCCCTCCAGGTTCCTCCCTCGCGGGTGCTGAAAAATGTGGATGATAGGGAATATTTTATTTATTTATTTATTTATTTATATCCTGCCCATCTAGTCATTGACTACTCTGTATAGCTTTTTTTATAGCAAACAGTATAGCTTTTTTTTTCTTTTAATATGTTTAATTTTTTTCAGACCGTGGATAAATGAATCAGCAGATACTTATCCTGTGAATAAGGGGGTCCTACTTGTTTAAAACCTAGTATTTAATGCTAGGAGTAGTGCTGGGGAAAACATTTACCATTCAGCACGGCTCACAAACGTTCCAGAAAAAGACGTGGTTTTCTTCCCCAAGAGAAAGCCGCTTAGAGAAGTTACTTTTAAACAGGGCTCTGTCTGCCTTCAGAGGGTCCTGTGAGGTTCCAGTCTCCCCTTGATGGGGTAGCGGTGGAAGAGGAAAAGTCGTAAAAAGATTTGGGGTATTTAGCAGATCCCCAGATGCGCAGAAAGGTTGTGGCCAGTTGCTTGGGTCATCTATGATTTTTATCTTTTGTCGGGTTAACTCAAAGGAGTAAGACATGAATTGTTTTTTCGTTGTTTTTCTCTTACTTGCTGCTTGGGAACCAGCCATTCAAGGTAACCCTGACCATCTTTTTTGCTTGCTTCTGTTCATCGTTCGGAAATGTGGGTGCACGAGAATAAACAAAACTGGGGGCCGTGTGTACTAGAAAAATTAAACAGAAACAAACTGTATTTGACATTTTTGAAGTTTACCTGATTCAGCCTCAGCTTTCACGAATGACAGCCTGCGTCCCTAGACCCACTATCTTTAGCCTTGGGTTTATACACACACACACCGTGTGGGCGGTTGTGGGATGGGGGCCACATCCGCCATTGTGGCTCTGTGACTTCCATGTCTTTAATTGATCCCACGGAGGCATCCCTTCTCCTTCACTGGCTGGAGATCCCGGACATGCCAGCCAGCTCCCGAAACGTCCTGCCTGGCGGCTGTTTCCCCTCCATGAGACCCATCTCACTCCCATGTGTGTGTGGGGTCCTTGCAGCTCTCATCCTGGTTTCGGAGAGGCCGAGAAAGCATCACCCCGCCTTGGTGGCTTCACAGCCTTCCTGAGCCCCAATATATAAGGCCTGGCAGGGTTCCCTGCCCTTCCTGCTCCGAGGGGCAGGAGGTCGGTGGAGATACTGCCTCTGCAGCCTCATTAATCCTCAAAAGCAGGGGGATGATTCTGCCACCGTCCAGATCTTTTTTCCTCCACAGCCTCTCTTCTTTTCCGGCAGATGGTTTGCTGGGCATGTTCCTCAAGCGCCTCTCCTCCCAGATCATCCTGCTCCAGGCCTGGACTGCTCATCTCTGGAAGATGTTCTACGACGCCCGCAAACCCCGGAGCCAGATCAAGAACGAGATCAACATGGACCACCTGGCCCGGGATGAGTTCAACCTCCAGAAGATGATCGTGGTGGTCACGGCCTCCGGGAAGGTGAGCGGAGAGAGAGAGAGACAGAGAGTGCTGAATACCTCCCACCTGATCTGGCCCTTGAGAGAGAGAGAGAGAGAGAGAGAGCGCTGAATACGTCCCGCCTGATCTGGCCCTCGAGTGTGTGTGTGTGTGTTATTTATTTTTTAATCACGGAGAGACTTTTAAAATATGCCATTCTCTTAACTAATCCAGTGGTGTTTTTTCAAAATAGCACAAAGATTTGAAAACAAAACCAGCAAGGAGCACAATATTTGTTTTGATTTATTTAAAATATTTTGATCCCGTTTTCCTCCTTAAAAGACCCAAGGTGGCCTTGTATCATTAGTTACATTTCCAGCCACGTAATGAGTATCGGCGGGCAATTCCCTCGTCAAGGGGTGTAACAAAGTAGGGGAAACAAATGCTTTTAAAAAGCCACTCTCTAACCTCTGCTGCTGATGTGTAGGTATTTTAAAGAGCAGACTTAGGGCCCGCGTTACCCCAGCATCCTTTTACCCCATGGGGCTCAACAAGATGTTTTTAGGAAGCCCAGCAGGAGGGAGAGAATTCCCTCTCTTGTCTTCCATGTCTGCCATTCAGGGGGTAGACTGCTTCTGAGCATGGAGGGTCCATTCTCAACCACCTAAGGAGAACTGTAAGAGTCTTTGCAGGAGGATGTTGTGGAAGGACTGAAGGCAAGCTTTGGGAGCCCTCCGTCCTGTGACCGGGCCCCGTCTGTTTTGGCAGCTTTTTGGCATCGAAAGCAGCACCGGGACCATCCTGTGGAAGCAGTACCTCCAGGACGTGAAGCCGGGCTCCTCTTTCAAGCTGATGGTCCAAAGGACGACCGCTCACTTCCCCCACCCTCCGCAGTGCACCCTCCTGGTCAAGGACAAGGTGGGCTCTCTTCCCCCACCCCTCCCCTTACACCTGTGTTTGGTGTCGAAACGCTCCCCTTCCCAACTTGGAATGGGTTGGACTGCAACTCCCATCCTCCCCAGCCAGTGTGGCTGCCCTGACTGGGAGCAGTGGGATTTGTCATCCAGCAGAGCTGAAAAATACCAGGCGGTTCCAGGGCGGATTTTATCGACCCAAAGGCGTTAAGGGAAGAAGGGGTCGCCCTGTGCCGATCTTAACTATGGGCACGTGGTGGAAAATTTGCATTTCTTGGAAAAGACGCTGGACAAGGGTGTCCGTCGAGGCGCAAGACACACGGGGAGCGTGGGCCTCCGATGTCTGCCTTCTTCCCACATGGCAGCTCCTTTCTCACTTAAGCTGCTTCATAGATCCCGGGCTTTCCTTATTTTATCGCCTTCCTTTTCAGGAAACGGGCCTGAGCTCCCTCTACATCTTCAACCCCATCTTCGGGAGGTGGAGCCAGGTGGCCCCTCCGGCGCTGAGCCGCCCTGTCCTCCAGTCCCTGCTCCTCCCCCTCATGGACCAAGACTACGCCAAAGTCCTGCTGCTGGTGGACGATGAGCACAAGGTGCTGCACCCCCCATGCTCCCCGCAGCACCCGGTCCTCGCGACAGGTGGCAGAAAGGCCTCTGGAAGGAGGAGCCCCGCGCGGAGCGCCACCTTCAACCGCTCTCTGTTTGCTTCCCCCCTCCTGCTAGGTGACGGTGTTTCCAGCCACGAGGAACGTCCTCCGGCTGCTGGGGGAGATGGCGCCCTCCATCTCTTTCTATCTGGCCGATTCCGAGCAGGGCAAATTGACGGGATGGAGGCTGAAGAAGGTGTTCGTCGGCGTTTTTGTCCTTCTCTCCGAAATCGTCTGTGTGCATTTTTGCCGGGGACGGGGGATGACCTTTGGTGTCCGTTCTACCCCCCCCATGAGGAGTCCCCCAGGATTGTCTGACCTGGAAGTGACATCATCCATGCCCTCCCCCCCCCCGGGAAGCAGCTGCTGGAGCAGTCAAAGCTTCAGCATCCTGTCAACTCCTAGAGAAGGGATACCCTCTTTATTTCTGAAGGGCTGGCCTGATCTAAGAGGGCATGCCGTGTGTGTGGGGGGGGGGGGTGAACTGCGGTGGTCAGCACCACCCTGCACTGTCATCTGGGCTTGTGAAAGCCAGGGGGTGTGCTTGCCGCCAGATTGCAACCAGAGGGTCAGTTTCCCCCTCCCCCACCTCACCGTCTTTGTCCCTGGGCTGCCTCTTAGGACTTGACTACCGAGGAGACCTGGGAGATCACCCTCCCCACTGACATCCAGCGCATTGTGACAGTGAAGGGGAAACGAGACAACGAGCACGTCCATTCCCAAGGGCGCGTGATGGGAGACCGCAGCGTGCTCTATAAGGTAAGGGGGAGTCGGAGGGAAGGGCGCCCAAAGCATCTGGACGCTGCTTGGTCAATCGGAGTCTGCCTGGCTTAGTCTCAGTAGCTAAGCTGTGTCGTGTGCCTCGATCTTCCCATAACCGGTAAGGGGGAGTCGGAGGGAAGGGCGCCCCAAAGGATCTGAGAGATTCCTTTCTGATCCACGGTGGGCAACTCTGCCCCCATCATGCTCACCACTGTACCCTCCTAGTGAAACCTTGAATGACCAGAGCCTCTCTTCAACGTTGGCATGTTTTAAAAGTGATTTTAAAACATTTAAATAAGGTACAGTTGCACTTCATTTTGGGAAAGAATTGTGTCTCCTCCAGGCGTCTGGAGGGGCAGTTCTTTGCTTCTTGGGGGGTGGGGGGTGGACAGTGGGTGGAAATGCTTTGGATCATTGACGCCGGCTTGACGGGGGGTAGCTTTTGGCTTTTTGCAGTCCTTGAACCCGAACCTGCTGGCGGTGGTGACCGAGAGCACAGACACCCACCCGGAGCGAGCCTTCATCGGGATCTACTTGATCGACAGCGTGACAGGACGGATCATCCACTCCTCAGTCCAGAAGAAGGCCAAGGGCCCTGTGCACATCGTCCACTCGGAGAACTGGGTGGTGGTAAGGGAGCCGCTCGGTCTGGCTTTGGGCTGCTTGAGAAATCGCCCGCCTTGGCCCGAGACCGGAGTGGGAGGATCCTCGCCTGGGCGGTTGTGCTGGCGGGGGAGTGGGCACAAAATCCCACCTGTTTTGAGCTCTGTGATTTAGCACACCAGAGAACTCTCAGCCTGTCCCTTTCTGTGGGTCTCCGTTAGAGACCAAGGGGTCAGCAGCCGTGTTATATTAAGACCCTATGGAGGGGAGATCCGAGGCGACGGTCTGAACCCGGCCTTCGGGATGGGGTTCTCACGTCTGGGCCCTCCAGGGCCTCCCAAAGGATCCTGCCTTGCTGCCTCTGAAAAGGGCCTCCTTGACCGCAGGGGCCAAGAGGAGAGTCTCTCTCTCTCCCGGAAAGAGGTTGAGACCTCAGACAGGCCTTTGCTTTGCTTTTCCTCTCCCTGCCCCAAGTACCAGTACTGGAACGCCAAGGCCCGCCGGAACGAGTTCACAGTGCTGGAGCTGTACGAAGGGACGGAGCAGTACAACGCCACAGCCTTCAGCTCCCTCGACCGCCCGGTGTTGCCGCAGGTCCTCCAGCAGTCCTACATCTTCCCCTCGGCCATTAGCGCCATGGAGGCCACCATCACCGAGCGCGGCATCACCAGCCGGCATTTGCTCAGTTAAGGAGACGGTTGGGGAGCAGGGAGGGAGCCCCCCACCCCCCACCCCTGCAGGGAGGAAGGGCTGGAAAGGCCTCACTCCGCTTTCTGCTGAGAAGAAACAGGGTTTCCAGTGGGACTTTTTCTGATGTGATCAGTCAGCTCTCCAGAAAATCACCAAGGCAAGCTTCTCTTGTCTTGGCCCTGCTGCGTCGTCAGGGGCAGGGAGGCTGGAAGGAGGCCTCCCTCCCCTCATCGATTTTCTTCTTCCATACACAGTTGGGCTTCCATCCGGAGCGATCCTTTCCCTCCCGAAGGCTTTGCTAGACCCACGGAGACCGGAAATCCCCACGGAGCAAACGAGGTAGAGAAATGAGGGCCAGCAGGGGGCCAGGGAACCTCCGACCCGCTGACCTCATCCTGCATCCTTTGCCCCCCTGGAGGCATATGGGGCAGAAAACTTATTCCCCACCCTGCTGTAATGTGCGTGAAGCTCCGTCTGCTGCCAGGATTTAGCCCCGGCTAAGAACACAGGGACTTAAAACGGTCCTATCCCTCCCCTTGGTCTGTCTTTGGGTCCGTCCAGGATCAAAGAGTTCTCCAAAGTCTGAGGCCGAGAAGGGTCTTTCCCGTTACTTACCTTCCCTGGTTTCATCCTTGGCCACCCTTCAAATTCGGCTCAAGCCAAGAGGACGAGCCGGAGCGTCCCTCCGCAGTTGGCTAATCTCCCAAATGGGGTCTTCGGCAGGTGGACGGAGATCTATCCGAATGAGCTCCGCTCATTTCTTCCCCCCCCATCCCGTGCATTTTTCCAGGGAGGAAAACCTGATCCCGTACTCCCCCGACGTGCAGATCCATGCCGAGAGGTTCATCAATTACAACCAAACCATCTCGCGGATGAGGGGCATTTACACTGCACCCTCCGGCCTTGAGTCCACGTGCCTGGTGAGCTGTTCCGATGTCCTCCTTGCAAAACCGAGAGGGAGGAATCTCTGCTCTGTGGGTCCGAGGGTGGCTGGCCAGCCGGGGGTTTCACCCTTCTTTGGCTCTCAATGCCAGTTGAGGGGGGGGCAGGAGACCAAGCGAGCCTCCCACTGCCTTGAGGGGCTTGCCACAGCCCCTGGTTTTTGTTCTTGACCTCACGATCCGTCTTCTGCTTCCTCAGGTTGTGGTGTACGGACTGGACATCTACCAAACCCGCGTCTACCCCTCCAAGCAGTTCGACGTCTTGAAGGACGACTACGACTACGTTCTGATCAGCAGCGTCCTCTTCGGGCTGGTCTTCGCCACCATGATCACCAAGCGCCTGGCCCAAGTGAAGCTTCTCAACCGGGCTTGGCGGTAGCAGAGCGCCGCGGGGCCCAACCTGCTGGGGGGGAAAGCAGCTCCTTGACTTTGGACCTCTCGGCTGGGTCGGCGGTGAAAGTGGCGTGGTATTCCCCATATGGGAGAGAAAACAGGGTGGGGTATTTGCAGGACATTAATTTTTTTTAATGTGTTTTGTTGGAAAAAACACAGCTCTGTCTCCAGGATCAAGAATATCTTGTGAAATTATTATTCTTTTTAAAAAAAACTTTCTTGCCCTAGTACCTTGGACAGAAACAGGCTACCTTTGATCCTAACTCTAGAGACTGCCTTGTAGTAAGAACCGCTCAGCCTGTCTTTCCCCGTAGATTATAATTGCCCCCCCCGAGAATGGTTTCTCCTTTTTCTCTCTGTTGCCCCGTAATTTCTCACTCAAAATTTTAACTTCAAGCAAGTGGTTGTAAAAGTCTGGATAGGTCAGAAATACTTTGGGACCGTTGTCTATGGAAATTCAGCAAAGTGGAGGACATGAGCGTGAAGACAGAGCAGGCCACTTCGGTCTTTAATAACTCAGGAAAGGGGCTTAAAGAGAAGAAGCGGCTCCTGTATTCTCATATTTATTTTGGCTGCACTGAAAAGCTTTTCTCTTTTAAGCCTCGAGCCTTTTCTTCGTCGGTTCTTGTCTGCTTTTCCTGCCGGTTCCTGCATGTTGTGGCTTAACAGTTTTGGAATTATACTGGATGGCCTAGTGGTCAGTGGGACCGTAAGCCTTGATTAATGTTTTCAGACGGCTGGGGAAATGGGAATACTGTATTTGAAGCTAGCCTTCAGAAAAGGCACGTTTTAAATTCTGAACAGAAACCCTTGCCCCCCCCCCCTTGTGTGTTTTCTCTATTGCTTTGTGGGGAGGACTTGATAGTGAATCTAAATGGTGAGCATCTGCATTTATAATATACTGGATGGCCTAGTGGTCAGTGGGACTGTAAGCCTTGATTAATGTTTTCAGATGGCTGGGGAAATGGGAATACTTGAAGCTAGCCTTCAGAAAAGGCACGTTTTAAATTCTAAACGGAAACCCTCCCCCCCCCCCCCCCACCTTGTGTGTTTTCTCTGTTGCTTTGCGGAGAGGACTTGATAGCGAATCTAAATGGTGAGCATCTGCAGCTATAATGTATTGCGTTATGCTGAAGGAAAGTGCTGTCCTTTTTGTCTGGTCTAATGTAAAACAGGGAAGGGAGTCTTGAGGAACACGGCTGTTAGTTTACTGTTGGGCAGATTAAAGTTCTCCATGTAGAAAATTCAATTATGGTTTTGATGTTGGAGAACTTGAAATCTCTGCCACACAGAAGCACACCCTTCCCCTTTAAAACTGGTTGATCAATAAAAATTTCAAAGTGAGCTGTTTAAAGTTGTTGTTGTTTAGTCGTTTAGTCATGCCCGGCTGTTCGTGACCCCATGGACCAGAGCACGCCAGGCCCTCCTATCTTCCATGACCTCCCGGAGTTGGGTCAAATTCATGTTGGTCGCTTCGATGACCCTCTCCAGCCATCTCGTTTAGTCGTGTCCGGCTCTTTGTGACCCCATGGACCAAAGCACGCCAGGCCCTCGTGGCTTCCACTGCCTCCCAGAGTTGGGTCAAATTCATGTTGGTCGCTTTAGTGACCCTCTCCAGCCATCTCACCCTCGGTCGTCCCCTTCTCCTCTTGCCTTCACTCTTTCCCAACATCAGGGTCTTTTCCAGGGAGTCTTCTCTTCTCGTGAGATGGCCAAAGTATTGGAGCCTCAGCTTCAGCAGGTTTAAGTACATCCATTTAAACACTGTTATCTAACGGCATCTTGGAGAAAACACAAAGGCCTGTGAACTGGCTAAAAGCAGTGATAAGACAGGTCACTGCAGCGGCTGAAATGTCTTGTAGGTACCAGCAAACCATGTTTTGGTTAGGGTGGATTTGATTTAAATCACGATTTAAATGAATAAATGAGATTTTTTGAGTTAATCTTTTTTACATTAATTTTTTATAATTTAAATTGTGATGTAAATCAATTTAATTTTTTTAAAAACATACCCCCTTTTTTCCTCCAAAGAAATTAATTTGCACAACATTCCTGCAAGGTAGGACAGTCTGAAAGCTGCATGTCCGTTGCAGAACCAAGGTAATCATAGCAGGTGATCTCCTGGACTGGAAGATGATAGGTTAATTGTGGTGTCAATGAAAAAAGAACTGGATTTCCTTCATTGAAGGAACACCATGGTGAGCGTGCCACAAAGCAGGAACTTTTCTCTCAGTGAGATTCAGGGAAGGCGAGTCTTCTCTGCGTAGCTCTATCTGCTCTGCAGAAAGCGATCGTCGCCTGGGGGGCGCATGCGCAGACCGCTCCATAACGGAAAGTCGCTGACTCACTTGCTTGCGCAAGCGCATGTCCATGGAGGGGTCGGCGAAACCTAGAGCTACGAAAGCGAAAGAATTCAGAAACGGGAGCTCCCTGTGCTGCCTCTCACACGCAAAGACATTTAATTCCACGGGAAATAACTGAACATAAATGAAATTTAAGGTGGGGAGGGAGCAGGGAGCGCCAACAGCGAGCCTTGAGCGTTCGCTGGGCCTCTGGCGGCGCCTCAAGGGAGCCCCTTCCGGGGCTGACCGGAAGTGAGGTTCCGGCAGGGTCTCTCGGCGAAAACTTCTCCCTCGGCTTCTCCAGGCCCTCCCGGGAGCGGCGGCGGGGTGGGAGGAGGAGAGACCCGGCCTTGGCCGCCCAGTAAAAGGCCCGGTCGCCCTTTTTATGTGGGGGCGGGGCGGAGAAAAAAAGACGGTCAGCGCTCCCTGGGGGAGGGAAGGCGGAAGGCTCGGTCGGGCGCGGTGACGTCACTTCCGCCCGCGGCCCGGAAGTGCTCTCGCGGCCTCCCGTTTTCTCCTTCGCCTCAGAGACTCCGCCGCGCCTGGAACGCGAAAGGGAGGACGAGCGAGAGGGAGAGCGAGGCAGGGAGGAAGGCAGGGGCTCGGCCAGGATGGCGGCCTCGGGGGGAGGGGGATGCCCT